AACTGTCATTTACTTAAGATGAAAAGCATGAATCAGTGACATTTATCAAAATTCCAATGTGGAAAAATTCTGCTATCACTTTGTATTGCTTTGTGTGAACTAGGATGAATATAACAAAGTATGAAACACTGTAGGTTATGTAATCTATGCAACCAACTTTTCTTATGAAATATAACGAGAGCTATATCTAGCTATGAATCCATATTTAATTGACAGAAGATTAGTTTTGATGACGCTACCAATTTTTTTATAGATTTGGATTTCTTTGACTAGTCTCGCTACCTCAAGCTGCTCCAAAAGTAAACTTTCTTTATAATTCGAAAGTATGGAGACAGGATGGTGGGTCCTTGTGTATCGTCGTGGTCTCCTTTCGTTGGTCATATTGGCAGGAAGATCTAGAGTGACGCACCCTGTCTGGAGTTCATAGTATGCATGATAATTTCCAGAGTCGAACAGGGAACTTTGCATATTCCCAGACGTTTCGCCAGCATCGTCTGGCGGCAGAACGTCTGGGAATGTACCAAGTCCATGGTTCGACTTTGCACATTATCATGAATACTATGGGCTCCGAAAAAGGTGTGTTTCTCTCGGCCTTCCTGCAAATATGACCTTTCCTAATAACTGACAAAGACAATCTACGCCTTTTGAATTTACACTTAGATGAGACAATCTATGATGAGACATCATCTGACATGTAATTCTATTGAGTAAAAACTGGAGGAATAATGGAAAAATGGGAGTTAATAGGGAGTTTAGTTTAGCTGCGATTATATTTAAATAAAGCACTGCAAAAATTTAAGTATGGACGAGATTCGAAAGCAATTCAATTTATGGAAATGTACGCTGTACATGGTCCGACGCTCCTTGCGAGCACGACTGAGTTGGGTAAAGTAATTCAGGCAAAGTAGAAAATTTAACTTAACTCTTAAGTGATTCTCCTAATTTCTTTCAAATCTGTACTAATGTGTATAAAGTAGATATTGTGTTAAGGCATCAGAGAATAGGATGAGGCCACAAGCTAACTTGTCTTTGAAAAATGCATTAAGCATGAGGTAAACCGTGAACATTTTGTATGATGAATATAAAAATAGGCAGGCTTTTAGATAGACTCACAGAAAGAGGCTGTTCAATATAATTTGTGGAATATCAGAAAAAGTGGCAAAAGTATAAGAACATGAAACTAAATAATGAAATGGTCCAATTACTCATTATTATTAATTTTGTTGAGCATATTGAAATTTTACATTAATCTCTCGATCTCTTCTCTAGGCATACTCTGTTGAGTCTTACAAGCATCCGGTCGATCTGGTTGCGACTTTTAATGAGCCACTTTCCGAGGCCTGGATCGGACCTGGAGGCTTGTCAGAGGTGGATGATGAAAGGGAAGAAGATGTACAAGAAAAAGGAGGATGGGAAGAGGAGGCCAGATGCCTTCTACCCCAGCTCTCTCTGAATTCAGCCTCCTCTTCGTTGCCTGGTAGATCTTCGGTGGCGAATCCCGCGTCTGGTCCTTCGCGCACAGTCTCCAAGCTACCATCCTCTCCGCCTGCACCAGCTTCAGATTCAACGAGTTCTTCCTCATCGTACGCGGCTGCATGCGTTAAACCTCTTCCTCCGTTGCCCAATTCTTGTATTCTGACTTCTCTAAAAGCCGAAACCGGCCAAACAGGTCGGCGGAGAGAATCAAGAAAGTCATCCGGTTTCCGTCGTCAGTCTGAGGAAGCTAGTTACTTCCCTGTTAGCCCACACTTTTCTTCAAGTGGTTGCCAACACCTTGTTAACTCTGAGGAGCAAGATCTAAAGCAGGCTTTTACAAATATGCACCCTGCTCGACTGCACCAGCTACAATATCAACTTCGACCTCCCCATCGTCATAAGCATCACTATCCCTACTCCATCAATCATCCTCGTCATCAGCATCATTCACCTCAGTACCATCACCTTCACTCAGTCCTGACAACAAAGGAATCACAGACATGCAATCCCGATACCAACAGACAGACCAGTAACCATCCTCACAGGCTGTTGGTGGCCTGTACCGGACGCCTGCCATCGTCGAAAGGCACCCTGTCGACGGTTGGCATGCCATTGCTGATGTCCCGGCGACAGAGACGCTGTGATTTTGGTGCATTCGAGGTGAGAAAGGGGGTTGGATTTTATTCGACTGCATTCTTTAACATTTCACTTTTCACTGTGATGCTCGCAGAATGTTATTCGTAGCAATTCGCGAGGCAAGTTGGAAATAGTTATTTTATCAGTTCGATAGTGTATTAATTCAAGATAAATACTATGAATTATATACGAAGAAAAGTTAAGTTTCGAGGAATCTCTTGGTTCATAATTGTTAGGATTACTTCCATTTCGAGTATAAGTGTTGGGTGAAGAGATTCGAAGGTAGGTTCCACCAGAATACGACGGCGAATTCCTCTTGACCAGCTG